ACTACTACTACTATTAGTACTACTACGATGACTACTATCACTCTTAACATCGCCATCACTATTGCTCTTACATGCCGTTTGTGTTACTCGTACTGGTGCTGTCTTTGCTGTATTCGTCTTGCTACTCTTGCATTTAGTATTATGAACATTATTATGATGCTAACTATCATTACGCTTACCTTCTGGGCTTAGAGTTTGGGCCAGGGGCGCAGGGTTTGTGCAATGATGATGGTTTAAGATGTTGAAACGTCTTGGACCCAAGCTTTTCTCTGTGCTGGAGTTGCTTGGGATTCAAGGTTTCCGTTTTGTGCACCCGGGCCACTCCACGCATGCTAGTTGCAGGGCACCTCCGGAGATTCGGACAGAAGAAGTCATAGCAGCTACCCTCTACCAGGCACCATGCTCCCAAAACAAAACGTAAGCACTTCCTGAGCTCAATGCCAGGATTTGGGATCTGCATGGCCTTAGCTGGACTGTGTTCAGCTTGCTTTTCGTTTCGGGATGCCGTGGAACGGGCATGTTTCAACTTCAGGCATCTCGTATCCTTACCACGGTGCGGCTTGCGGAGCTCCATTCGGGGCCATGAAGCCGTCGTCCTCTCCAGGACTCTCAGTGGGATTCGGGGCTTAGGGCAGACAGTCGGGGACGCAGGCACTCATTTTGAAGTGGGAGTCCCATCACAGCTTCTACCAGCGGACCTCCGGCGGCCGAGAGGACTGGAAATATCCCTCGGCATGAGTGTGTCTTTGACGAGCTTGCCGCGGGCGGGGCAGATTCCAAGTGTGGAGACAGCACTAGGCTATCAAACCCCTTCAACCCTAAACCCCTTAAACCCCTTGGACAAACGGCCAAACTCTCCTCGCGTGACTAAGTGCCAACAATTGCTGCAAAGGCCCAGAAGTGACAACCCCACGTAAACCGCAGACCAAACTCCTTTTAGAAGGGTGTTTGGGTCTTTGACGAGCTGTTCCAAGGTCTGTTTGGCAAAGGTTTCCATGAAGCTCCGACTCAGAGGCCCTAGAGAATCTTCAAGCTAAGAGGCCAGAGGAGGCAAGAAGGAAGCTGAGACCCTGGCATTCTCTTGGCTCCCCTTCGGGGGCCGACTCTTACGAGCTGTCCTTTGCGAAATCAAGACTTCGAGGCCCACTGGGGTCGTTGGGCTGAGAGCTCTTAGGGAGGCTTTTTGGGTTTTGGGTTCAGGGTTGTGGCCTGGTTGTGGCGTGTAGGGCAGCCTGGGGCACTTTTGGATTAAAGTTCTTGCGAGTCGCGTCACGGGAGTACTTGATAAACAATGCTGGCACAGTCTGCCTACGGCAGTCTTTGCTGCGCTCTTCGTGCTCTGATGGGTTCAGCTGGGGGGGGGGGGGCATGCTTGCTTCGACTGAAACGCGTAAGCAAACAATGCATTAAGTAGCAACTGAAGCAGCAGCAAAGCAGCAAGAATCCAACAGGAAGCCGCATACTGTGTACCCGTGGCCACATTGACCGCCGTAACAGTCGCCAGCCCTGTCTCAGGTGCATACTGGGTTCCGGTACACATTGGGCGGCGGGTTTAGGTCTCTGGTTCTCGCTGCTTCGCGCTCTGGGAGTTGCACATGCACAAGCCCACCAAAACCGAAAGCTCTGACATGATGAACGCCCTCTGAATTTTTATCGCTTACAACTTACAACCTAACCCCCTACATCCTCAAACCGAAACCCTGAATCCTCAACTGTTGCAGAAACTAGAGAGTGAGGCCGGGTCCGATCATCCCTCGCCTGCCCAGAGGATGTAACGTTCAGGTTTTCAGGCGATAAAGGGGCAAGGGAGTTGACATTAGGGTTTGTGGTTTCAGGGTACATAGGTGTGTAGGGTTCAGGAGTTTAGGGCCTAGTGGTTGGGATGTGAGGTTGGTGCTTTGGGGCTTAGGGATGACGGGCAGAAGACTTGCCGAAACTGAGGCTAGCACTGGTACGAAAAACCCAAATCACCACACAAGCTTTAACAAGAAGAGCAATATGACAAGGACTAGAATACTGTGAACAAGAGTCTCCACTATGATGGCAAGACGAATATCTGTCAATAATGGCAACGCCATATCGCTGAAGCCAGAAGCATGGCATGCTACCAAACTTTAGCACAGTACCAAAGAAGCCGCTTCAAGCATCATTCTATACCCGAAATCCGAAACCCCTAACTGGAAATCCAAAACCCAAAACCCTAAAACTAAAACCGAGACCCTAAACCAAGGTTTCTCTCCTCAACCACCTCGCAGCACTCTTCCCCCAAAAACACAGGGAGAGGAACAGCAGCAAGAAGGACAAGAACAAGTCTTTGTTCCCAACCCTAAGCCTGGTTTCAATCACCCTTAACCCTGGATCCCGATAATAGTTCTGGACTGACGCCTAAAGCCATTAGTCCTGAACCCCTGAATGACCCTCACAGCCAGATAGCGAGACTAACCCCTATGAACCCTAAACCCTAAACCCCTATGAACCCCAAACCACTCCTTACAGCCCCGAAATCCTTCACCGCCCCCCTTTCCCCCGCCCAGTGCAGCATCTTCAGCGGCACCATGTCCGGTTGGCTGGCAAAGACGCTTTCGGGTTTGGGGCTTTATAGGGTTTCATGGTTTAGCACATCCAGGATTCATGCGACAAGCAGATTGCCCAACTACTTCATCAAACGCTCGGTCTTCTACCATACAGAGCTACCAGTTACCAGAGTTTTTTTTGAAACCTCTTTTCGTCCCTACAGCATGCCGCAGGTTAGAATGCTATGTTGGCGGAGGCATTGGACCGGGCAGGCGGCTTGACCAAAGACCCATCAACAAATATCTCAAGCATACCACACCACAGCCAAGATTGTCCCATTAGACCACTCTTGCATCACAACATTGTACATCGAACTGGCAGGGTTTTAAGCTTCAGGGTTCACCATGCCGGCAACACGGAGCCGCACGCGATCGCAGATGAAGCAACCTCCATGCGCTCGGTGTTGGTCAAGCTGTCGCAGACGGAATCAAACACCGGGCTCCAGGCGTATCTCGTGCGTAGCACATGTGCACCTGATCCCAAGCACTGCTGCTGACCTACTACGAGCACCATCCCTCCTCGGGCCACCCATCAAAGTGATATGACAAACATAATTTACAACCAGCTGCCTTGTTGCGTTTTCTACACCCTTCCGTCTACAGAGCCACGGCATCTAGAAACGTTCAGCTTTGGGCTCAGCAACACCCACGCCCCGGCCTCCATGTCGCACAAATCCAGGGACTGCATCGCGGGTGCCCACTGCTGCAAGTCAGTCGGAATTTCGGCCCTAAGCAGTACTCAACCTTAAACCCTGAAGTTTCCAAAACGTGCCCAAACTCTTGGTTTACGCGCGGCGTGCTGCTAGCTTGAATTCGCTTTCCGCTCGGCGGCTTCAGGCTCGACGTCGCATGGGTCTTCGAGTTCAACGCTTGAAAAGACGTCGGCAAACGGCGAGAGAACGATTCTCAGGGCACCCTTTCTATCTCTCTGACTCTGTCTCTCTGCCTGTCTGTCTCGTGCTTCAAACCGGCTGATGCACGGGCCCTGCAATCAGATGCAATCCGGACCTTGACCCGCCATATGTGGGGCCCTGTGTCTTTTGACCTTCGCCGGGTGTCCCTAGGCAAGCTGGCGCTTCGCGCGGTCATACTGGAGCATGCCGAACCTTCACGGAGGATACCACAAAAAGAGTAAGACTGTAAGTCAAGGAGCAAAGGCCACTTCACATAAATGCGACCAAAGCGGTACTAGTTCATCCTTGTCACAACGTAGCGACGTAGCCACAAAGTTGCTGGGGAGTGACAATGCCCCCCACGATGCACAGTGAGAGAGCGGCAGTAGTAACATCCTCGTCGCGAACAATTCCTATGCAATGATACGTTGACATCTGCTTCAAGTTGCTCATGCTTCACCAGACCTGCAGCAATTCTCGAAGCCCTAAGCAACGGCCGCAGTCCACAAGGCTACTGGCTTGCTTCAGGACACTACTCTGCTTGCAAAATGGCGGAGTGGATTCGTGCTCCGTGCTTTAAGTTATCTTTTCTGCATGCTCCAGGCCTTGGCAGTGCCAAAGACCGTAAAGGTGACGGGGCTCGCCACCTTCAGCAATCTGGAGTAGGCCACGTTGAGGGTAACCTCGTCTTTCAAACAAGAGCAGCAATTATCAAAATGCGACATTTCGTATATTTCGTAAGTCATACGATTAACTTCCCAAAAAACTGTTCAAAGCTGCTGAAGCTTTGAACTAGCACGTGTATGTGTGTGTGTGTGTGTCTGTGCACAAAAGGCGATCTCGGTATGGTGTGAATGATCCCGCTTCACTTGTGGAATCAAAGGGGCATGGAAGCGACTGTAGTGCAAGGATGCTGAGGGAAAAACCGCATAACATTCAAGCAAGCAACATGCTCATATATATATATATATATACATGCGTATATACATACATATACATATATATATATATGTAGATATAGACAGATAGACAAACAGATAGACAAATGGACAGATAGACAGATAGATAGATCGATAGATAGATAGAGAGATAGAGAGGCACACAGACAGAGAGCTAGAGAGCTAGAGAGCTGGAGAGCTAGAGAGCTAGATAGATAGATCAATCGATCGATAGATAGACCGCTAGATAGACCGACAGATAAATACATGGAAAGATAAACAGATAGATAGATAGGTAGATATAAATATATAAAAAAAATATATACATAGACAGATAGATAGATAGATAGATAGATTGATACAGGTATAGATAGATATGGATAGGTATAGATAGATATAAATAGACATAGAAAGATATCGATGGATAAAGATAAAAATAGATAGAGACAAACAGATACCGATAGATATCGATAGACATAGATAGATATAGATAGATATAGATAGATATCGATAGATTTCGCTAGTTTCGATAGAAACAGATAGACATAGATAGATATAGGTAGACAGATATAGACAGATTTAGATAGATAAAGATAGATATAGATAGATAGGTAGATAGACAGACAGATAAATGGATAGGATAGTTACTTACATAGACAGAGAAATAGATAGGTAGACAAAGATAAGTAGATAGATAGATAGATAGATAGATAGATAGATATCGTTTTAGATGAAGCAGAACAAGAAGAAGACAATCACAAAAATCAAGCACAAGCAACAATGAAAGAACTCATGTTTGCTAATAATCACGAATTCGGAGGCGTCGTGTTCCTGCTCGTGGCTCGGATTTCGGTCGTTGCGACCAAGCTACTGCGGTGAGCGCATTCAGGATCAATGCACTCCCTGGCCAGGGCAACCCAGAAAATCCGTGCCCGGCTGAAGGTCTCAGGTGCTCGGGGGGATTGACGGTAGCATCAGAATCGTGATTGCTAGTGCCTACTCCTCTTGCTGCTAGCCCTGATTGTCGGCTGACTGATGTTCCTCACAGATGCCGGGATGGCCTCGCAAGGCATCGAGCACGTGCAGGGCAGCACGAAGCTCTGACAGTGCAAAGGGCGCCGTGACCAGGAAGGCCACCGGCGAGAAGAGAGACAGAGCCTGAAGCTTGATTCAAGCGGCAGCTGGCTCCTATTGAAAGCCACAACATTCCTACTCTCAGCACGCAGTGTGTGAGGGCTGCACGCTGTGATCAGGTGGGCGATTAAGCGATGCTTGAATGAAGCTCTTGCAGATCAATCACTTCACCATAAATCTGAACAGCCCACATGTACACAATGGCAGCTGCGGCGCTGACAGGGGATCCAGCTTCAGCCCACTTTCAGACATCATCGACTTGAAGAGAACCAGTCTGAACCTCAGGGGCGAATAGGATGAGCGGTGTCTTGTAGCCATCAGAGACGAGCAGCTGTTCCACCAGAATGGCCACCACCAAGAGCCCCAGGCCTCAGAAACGTATCCGGCAAAGCTCTGCTTCAGCTCGGAACTGAGCTTGGGATTTCCGTTTTGACACCTTGCCGCGCTTTGCCTTTTGAGGTCGGAGCCCAGGTGGCTCAAGAAGAGCTCCCCGTGAATGGTGGCTGCGGCCTCGGACTCTCAGAGCCACAGACATCCCACGCAGTGAAAGCTTTAAGAAGAGGCTTCTGCAGGTTTGTCTTACAGGCTTGGTCTGAATGCAGTGCTTTGGAAGCTTTTTGGTGTTTGCTTGAAACTTTGTTTGCAAACTTGGCATCGAATCTGCTAGTTTAGTAAAGTCTAGCTAGTAGAAAACCCAACCGCCAAATCCTGTACCCTGGACGCTGACGACCGTAGACCAAAGTCTACAGGAGGCGGCGGTTCTTTCCATCGGCCATCGCCCCAAGCGATGTCTGGGTTGCACAGCATTAGCAGGCTCCGGATAAAACAGCTTTTCTGGTCTTGCGGCTAGAAGATCAAGTGTTTTTTTTCTCGGCCTCAGAGGGCTCGCTTGGATTGCCAAATCTCCAGCCCTGCATGTAGGGATGTGAATTCCCTCACAGTCCTGCTTCGCCAGAAAGAAAACATGGAAAATATAATATGCGCACGTAGATCTTCTACAGCCACTAAATCCCATCATCCGGTGCTGATCCCCCGGCCCACGGACAAGGTCGCCGAAGAGTTCAGGGCCCGGGCCCCGATGGAGATGATCAGCACGGGCCAACCGAGCTGCAGAGCTGTAGACCAGCTGGTCCTTGCTCCGAGATTTCGGGGTTTAGGGTTTATAGGGTTTAGGGTTTCGGGTTTCGGGTTTACGGGACTGAGGGCCTGTCTTCATTACTGGTGGCTTGGTGACTTGAGTGAATCACTTGAGACTGTCGTGGGATGCGGCGGCTTTCGTGTTCGGTCTGATCACAGAACTACAGGCGTGAATCAGCCGGACTTCTCTGTGTCGTTGGAAAGTCATTTGTATGCGAGAAAACTGTTGGTTGGACAGCTAAATTGTTCGCTGACGGGTTCTGCTAAACAAAGCACAGCAACCTCTCGCTTACGTTTTCGCAGCCTAGCTGACTCGAGCTTGCTGCGCAAGTGGTCCCGAAAAAGCTAAGCATGACGACAGCAGGCTCTTTGTGAAGACAAGGCAAAGCTAACTGAAGGACATCCTTCGAAGCTTCGCTTTTAGGCAAGGAGCGTGCCAATGACGAGACCCAGTGCCAAGGCAAAAACCGAGTTTCCACCTTAGCCGTGTCGGCCGTGTCCATTCTGAGCTCAGAGCACCACGAAACTGCTGGCAAGAAGCCCTTGAGCATGTTAATGAAGGCCACAGACAACAGCATGGCAGCGGAGTTGGACAGAACCACTGACACAGCCAGCAGGCCACCTGTGAATGGCACGGGACCACGTCACATTCTTCACACAACTCTGTCAGTTCATCTTCAGTCGTTGGGCCTACCAGAACCACGGCGCGAAATGTCTCCCAGTCGCTTCGCAATCCTGTCCAAGGGGTCTTCGACGGTCTTCTTCTCTCTCGCACTTCGCATTTGGTCCGGGACACCCGTATCTAATTCTTCATGGGCGGGCGCCGGGCATGAACACTCGCCAAGCAATGGTCCCTGTCGCGACTGAAAGCATGCCCGTTTACTCCGGCGCGAAGCCGGAGCCACGGTGGCTGCGATGCAAAAATGGCCACAAAACCTTCGGGCCTTCACTCATGCCAGGGAAAAGGCTCGGCTTGAAGAGGCGCAAGCTGTGGAGTACAAGGCTCGTCGTGAACATGTGGCAGCCTGGCACGCCAATCCCAGAACTATCCGGAACAAAACACATCAAGCACCTGGTGGCTGTGCCTACCATCACGAGCCCCACCCCACAGTAACTTCTGACCAGCAACAGGAGAGCGTGAGAGGATAGGGGAAGTCGGCCCCCGACCTGAGCAGCGAGCGAAGCAAAGTCCTGTCATGGCTGGTGAATCCGGGCCGCATCCAATTCACCGAACTTGAACAGGGTCGCAGCCCTCCCTCCCTCCCTCACTCAGCCAGCTTTGGGCATGCATCTTGGCTTCTGCCCACCAAAGCCGGAACAGGAGAGAGGCCTTTCTCAGGCCTCCCTCAGCGATGATTCAGCCAAGAGGCGGGATAAAAATCCACTTGTTGAAGATGGAGAGGACCATGGACAGCACCATCCACGGCAGAGCTTCTGGCGTTGCGGACCAAAGGCTCCTGTCTTCCTCCGTGCACGAGAAACCCTTGGAAGGCGACGATTTTTCCCTGGCCACCACGGTCATCCAGTAGCCGGCAACGAGCCCCGCAATGGACATCAAGCCCAACTTTCTCAAGGGGACCCTGGGCTCTCGCAAGACAGCCGTCTTCTCGCTCTTCCCCAAAGCCCCAGCAGTGGTGATGTTCACACTCGGATCCTGGGGTCGGAAGAACCGGGTGGAGGCGTTGCTCCCTGCAACCATGGGTGCTGAACCTCCCGTCTGCGTCTGGCTGAAAGTGGCATCGTGGCTCAGGGCGATGATGATCCTCTCACTGTGATTATGCAGGGCTGCCACGAAGCCAATGCACAGGAAAAAGATGGCTGGAGTCATGGCCGGGCTGCGACATACGGAAGGCCTGCTTTGCAGGGCAGAAGCCCTTGAACCGAAAGCATTTCAGCGAGATCTGATCTCTTGCCGTCTATCCCCTTATTAAAAAAAAGTGCGTCAGCGAGCGAGGCTGTGATGCAGGCTTTGCACTTTGCCCAAGAGACCGGTACTCCACATGTCAGCGGTGAACTGTGCTGGCCGCCTTTGGAGCAGCCGACGGGTCAGAGTCTCATTAACACGGGCCCAGGATCCCAGGATGTAGGGACCTTTCGGGACGCTTCTCGAAGTCTGGGGTGCTAGGACGGGCCGTGGGCCCGTGAGCGCGAGCTGCCGCGTCTCACATGAACTGCGCCATGGGGTCGTCGGCCCGCTGTCGCGTCAGGCGGTAGGCCTGGCCCACGGACCACGCATCTATGACATAGGCAGCCTCGGCCCTATAGGTAAACATCCTGCAAAGGCTTGTTGGAACTTCAGATTCAGAAGGCTCCTCGTACTCCTCCGGGCTGATCTCGTCGTTCAGGCCCTCGCCTGTGACTGCGTTGTAGCCGCGATTTCGCTCCTTGGCCGCATGTGCTCCTCAGGCCAGAGCCTCTAAGTCCCCTCACACCCCAAAACCCGAAGCTTCGACTCTTGTGCTGAGGGCGGAACATCATCCAATGTGAGGCCCCTCTTGCCCTGCACACATGCATGGGCACGTGCTTTCTTCTCGCTTCCGTGCGCATGCACGTAAGGATGTACAGGAGCATGCCAGCATATTTGTGATGCTGTGTCTGTATACTATACATGCATATCTGCGCTTACTGGCATAGTTTGCGAGGCACCGTATTTGCTGCAACATCGGGCTCACGACTCATCACCTGCATATGAATACACTGTGTGCTCTACAATGACTCGACAAGTCCGGGTGATGAAGATTGCAGCTGTCATCGCTGCAATCATGTGGCACGTACCAAATTCGGAAAGTTTCAACCGTGATGGTTCAAGATTGTGTGGTATGTTGCGTTGTCTCCGGACTGCTGGCACAAGCACCGACCACTGAGGCTCTGGCATCACGCGCCTCCTTCCTTTCCAACTTCCTTGGCATTTCGTCACCGGGTCATGGGGTGTCGGTTTGGGGCATCAAGGCAGCAGGCTAGCCGACCGACGTCGAATGTCTGATACCGCGGGCGTTGGGCGAGGACCCTTGTCAAATCGTTGCCTGTCCTGTTGTGAACGTTTCCTCCCTGACTCTTTGGTTGCTTCGGACGAGGAACCTTCTCCTCACTACTGACGCGGACCTGTCATGGGTCTTCACAGCGAACGGCGGATGGCTGCGGGCCCCAATCCCTCCACAAGTTCGCGAAATGGTGGTTGAATCTCGGCATCCTCAGTCCTCGCTCTCTGACTGTGACCCTGCCGGCAAAGCCTAAATCCTAAATCCGTAACCCAACCCTAAACCAGAACCCGAAACCTCAAATGCTTAGCGCCAACTTCCAAACCCTTGGCTCTACATCAAAACCCCTGCACACTGAGCATTAACTCTAAAACCCCCAACCCCGACTCTACACCCCACGATCCTAAACTCTGACAGCGAGGTACTGCTTCTTCTTGGCAGATTCCACGGCCGCAGAAAGACGGGTCGTGTCCAACTCCTCCACTTCCTGCGCAATGTCGTTGGGTTTGAGGGTTTAGGGTTCAAGGGCTTGGGGTGCAGGTTGTCTGGGTGTTATTCCCGCACGGTTTTGAGTGTTGTGGCTTGCCGTTGAGGTTTAATGGATTCTACAACTTTAGGTTGCTACGGGGTTTTTAAACGTTCCGGGTTGTTTGGCTTTACGTCGGGGTTTACGGCTTTAGGGATTGTCGTCGAAGGCTTCGGGACAGGGTTACTCACTGTCAGAGGTCTTTGGGCCTCACAGCTTAAACTGTAAACCAAAAACCCTAAGCCCTAAACCCCCAAACCCTAAACCCTAACCTCAAACCCGAAACCTTAAGCCCTAAACCGCTAAACCCTAAACCCTTAGCTTTCAGCCCTAAGCCCTAACCCCAAAGCCCCAAACCCTAAACCCAAAGCCCTAGACCCTAAACCCTAAACCCAAAGCCCTAAACCCTAAACCCAAAGCCCTGAACCCTCAACCCTAAGCCCTGAACCCTCAACCCTAAGCCCTAAGCCCTAAACTTGAGGGGGTGCAGCCACCTCCAAGACATGGCCGAAAGCGGAGGTCCTGCAAGGAGTCGCCACGGCAGAAAAAGAAGCGGTGAGAAGATGAATCTAGCAGATGTAACTTATGCGTCTAAACATACATATGCATATGTTTCCTTATACATCTACATATTTTTTATATTTTTTGACTCTTATTGCACCACGTACGATATACAATATGCGAACATACGAACATACACTGTATAAGATATACGGGAGTCAGGGAGCCTCTTCTCGCTGAGCTTGGAGGCTTCCCTGCTCGCTGTAGCCGGGGAGTCTCCGGTGAGGTCCAAGTCCCCCACGCCAGCTGGACAGGGACGAACAAAAATCTTTGGACCCTCATCCCATTCGTTTAGGGTTTAGGGTTTAGGACATGGGTCCGGCTCAGGGCTTCCCAACCAAGACAACAGGCCTCCATCATCCAGGGCGGGCACGGCCTCCTGGGGGCGTTCCGCTTCCGCTTCCTCCCCCGCCTCGATGGCCTGAGATGAAAACATGATCCCAAAAGGCTCCAGTACCTGTCACTACCGATTACAACCATCGGATTTCTGGTAGGAATATCAAAAGGAGCAACATGGATGTTCATGCACATACACAACAACAACGACATGAAAGTGTGCAAGACAAGCACAAAAGCAACACCACGAGCTACAACGAAAGGATACTGAAAGTAGTCTTGGTCGGACACCTCTGCATCACCCTTCTTGATGGGCACGCAGTAGGAGTTCTTCATCGTCTGATGGCAGCAGGCGAAGCCGAACCTGAAGGGATCGATCTAGTCTACATTTAGAGATATTTAGAGGGTTCGGCGTTCAATCCTGGATCGAAAATCTCGCTGACACCAGAAAGCGTCGGCCCTCGCTATGTTTGTCAGAAAAGCACTACTGAGTCGTTCGATTCACCAACTGATTCGGTCTTTCAAAATGAAAGGAGAGTCTTCTTCACCTACTGCTCTTCGGGGGAAGCCCCTGGAAGTTCAATACCCAGCTCCGCTTGCGGGAAGTTCTTCCGGCCTTCCGGTGACTGTACAGAACCAGGAGCCCCAAACTGACGAGTGGTTGCCTTCGCAGTGCTCAAGAGACGACGGTTGCGCTGGGTTCAGGGGAACAGACTAGAAGGGCTATGTTAGAGGACGTAAAGTTCGGGAACTTGGGCGGCGATGGAGGTATGGGTGGTGGCGGCAACAACGGTGCTTTTTCACAATGTGCTAGTCATGTCTTTCTTTATAGAGCCCAAGCCTACGAGGACGTCCTCTTCGTACTTGGACTTGGTCAAGGCCCTCTCCTGGCCCTTGAGCACACGCCCATCACGGGCGTACCTGGCATCAGTGATCACGTGCGAAAGCGCAAGCCAGAATCAGACGGCGACTACATGGGCAAATGCTGTCCCGGCATGAGCGTGCGAGTTTCGTGGGCAGAATGAGCTTGAAGGTTAAGGTACAGACAGGCCATCTGGACAACTGTGGGTCCCATGCTATCGCTTCTGCTTAGGAGCATCTCGGTGAAAGGTGCAGACTTGAGAAAACTAAGGTCGAAATGCCACAAAAAAGTCAAGTGCAGATCCCAACTCAAAGCTGCGAAGGATAAAACAGCAGTGCAAGCAAGGCTTGATTGCTTCAGCGCTGTGGGCTGTCAATTCATGTCACGCGCACTCGACGTAGTTCTCGTTCTGGGAGAAGATCAACTCCCTTGGTGCTTCCATGTGTTCCTGGCCGCCGTACCTGGCGTTTCAGCACAGCTGAAACACTCGAAACTGCAGAGACTTGCAGATCTTTGATTCAATTCTGGGCTTCGGACAACACCTGACTCCTGCAAAACCAGCGGGCACTTGTCCATGAGCTCTTTCTGCTGCTGGTCTTTCAAGTTCGTGGCCCGGTTTTTGTACACCTGCAGATATCTGCGCACGCTGGGGCCATGCGTTTTCGGGGTCAGACGTGGCCAAACGCACTGCTGACGCATACTTAAAGCGTGCATGCCAGAAGTGTACTGTAGACAAATTGGAGAGGGGTTGTCAAACGCAAGTCGACGTGTAAGTCGGCCTCAAACATCTTCAATGCTTGAGTCGGCTGCGCTGTATCATGGATCTTCTCACCTGCCATGCCAGTCGTTTGGGGTGCTGCAACCTGCACACCCTTGGCCCTGCACCCAGATCGAAGCCAGGCGGAACCACCATGCTTGTAGGAGTCCCACGCAAAGCACATGAGCTCCGTGAGTTGTTTGGAGTCGCCGGACTGCCTGAACCAGCGAGTCTGTGTCATGTTCGCCGATTGGAATCCGAAATCAAATGACAGCACGTTGAAGGGTTCAGAGTTGCCTGCAGGCACGTGGATGGATCGATTTCTGTTGACGCAAACTGGCAAGCCTGGTCACTAAAGGCTGGAGTCAGCAGCCTGAAGACGAAACTTGAACTGAACACCAGAGCCCAAACCTGTAAGCTTCTGGATGCGGGTTGAAAGCCATCGGGGCCGAAGGGCCTCCAACCCACGGACCCTCGGAAGACTCTTTCAGCATGGCTACTTCTAAAGCGCGCGGGAAAGACCCCTTCCTCGACATGAACTGACAACGGATCATCTCCCCGAACTACTCGGCCCTCCCCGCACCTCAGGAAGTTATCGCCACGGAAAGCAGTCCCCTTCTCTTCGTCCTTTGGAACGCAGACAAAGGACAGAGGCCGAGGACCGGGAAGATCCGTATCT